CTGACAAGTGTCATCGGCATCTTCATATCCGGTCACATGGGCGGCAAGCCACTCCCATCCGGTCACATGGGCAGCAAACCACTCCCACAAAGGAGACCACACCCACAGAGTAGTTTCGAACAATTTTTGAAACCCACCACTGATTCACTCCATTTCCCCCATATCTCCCACCCTGATTCTAATGCAGGTGTTCCCAAACTCTTCAGCTGATCAACCCCCTCATGCGAATTTCAGATTGTTCACCAACTCCCAAAATGTACGATATGAAAATAAATTAATAAATACATCTTTAACAAATAGTTAATCATCATCATATTGACCCCCTTGGCTAGTCCCAATGACCTTTGGGGGTGGGGTGTCAATTTTGACTTCTTTGGAGAATCCCGGTCAAACTACTAGAACAAGCACTTCCTTAACCAAAAGTGTCATCTGATAATAATTAAAGAAAGAACTGAAATTCAAAATGATGAACTTGGCTCTTAATATTCACAGAACATCGCTTTGGATTCAGTTCCCAAAAGTTGCTCAGAAGTGCACATCAGCACAAATGCGGCACTGCTCTTTAATAGATACAGCCGTATCTTTTCCCTAGATTGCATGGCTGGCCTTTACAGCTGCTATGTCAGGCCTGGAAGCCATCTTTTACATTTGGGCCTTCAGGCCTGCCACATTTTCTACTGTGGGAAAATGGGACGGGGGATTATATATAGAGTGTGGGTGATATGTAGTCAAAACAACATTATTTCTCAGAAAGTCAAGGCTGTCTTGCCCTGCAGCTGTGATGAGGTGACTGAGAGGCATCTCCAGTTTTGGATGGTGTCATGTGATGGACATGTGGGTGCTGGGCAGGGACTTGAACTTTCTTTTGGGTGTGGAAAACCTGGAAACTTTCAGATTCGGGCCTTCCCAGGCCAATATGACCAATATTGTGCCAATATTGTGCCAATATGACATCTCTAATAAAACGGACCTTTGAGGAAATTCAAGCCTCGGAGTCTTCTTTCATTGGGGGTGTTACTTGGAACCCTGACATGATACTTGGTTCCAAGAAAAGATGAGGCTGTTTTGAAGATTTGCAGCAAAATGGTGCCCTGAACCTCCCAGCCTCCCTTTTCAAAATTAAAGCCAAAGGATTGCATGGCCTTATTAGCCCTACATATTTTGGACACCCAGATTACTGGAGGAATTACTGATCCTGCTGGTAGCTTCTGAGATTGGTGAGATTGATTGAATCTTGGGAATAGGGCTTTCTCAAGAGCACCTATGAAATTGAGGTATGTATGCTGTCTTGCTAGAACAGAATAACAGAGTTGGAAGAGACCTCGGAGGTCTTCTTCTCCAACTCCTTGCACAAGCAGGAGGCTGAAATTGTGCATGAGAGCTTTTATTACAAGCACCGCTTAAAAAATAGGTATTATTGCCTTGGCTGTGCACAAATTGAAATCTTAAAAAGGAGGGTTTTATCATATTATTAGTTTATTATTATGTGGTTAATCTTTGGTGAGATTCACAACCTTTGGGGCTAGTTGGTAGCTCAACAGCTTGAGTCCTAACCAAGGGCCTAGGAACTGTTAAGGTAACGTCGAAGGATATAAGCTGTTCCAAGTAGGGTGGATTTTTGTAGAGTCAGAATGTTCAAGTCAGGTGAATTTAGAATTTCCAAATAGCGAGGTAGCCCTTTAGGTATTGCTNGCCACTCCCACCAGGTCACATGGCCGACAAGCCACTCCCACAAAGGAGGCCACACCCACAGAGTAGGTTCGAAAATTTTTTGAAACCCACCACTGTATGGGAGGGCCAATCATCTCCAAGTCTTATTCCCAAGTCGAGCCTATTTCTTAATTCTTCTTGCCTTCTGGCAGCTCTGCGCATGCACACACTAGAACAGGCTCCTACTGTTCTTCTGCCTTACTGATGTCAGACTCCGGAGGCTCTGGAGTCAGCAAATAACTACTAGATGGCCTTGGTTCCCCCTCTGCCTTTGACGCAGAGCCCTCATCAGAGCCTTCCTCAGACTCCAGGACTGGCCCATGTTCCTCCCCAGCTTCCTCACCATCTGAATCTGCTGCCTGCTCTGCTTCTGGGCCACAACACAATTTACCCTTATTTAGTTTTCAAGGACTGAAGACACTTTAATTGGCTGTGAGGAAGGACCAACAGGCAAGTTGTCACTAACAACAAAAATTAGTCTTCAGCTTACACTTACATTTAGCCACCATTCAAAGTTACAGTAGCATTGTGAAAAGTGATTTATGACTGGTCCTCGTACTTATGACCATCGCAGCAGCCTCACAGTCATGAGATCACTCTTCAGGGCTTGGCAACCGGCATGTATTTATGATGGTTGCTGTATCCCGGGGTCATACAATTGCCATCTGCCACCTTCACAGCCAGCTTCCGACAAGCAAAGTCAATGGGGGAAGCCTGATTTGCTTAATGATTGCATGATTCACTTAACAACGGAAACAATTCACTTAATCAGGGCAACAAAAGATCATAAGATCAGGCGTGACTCACTTAACAACCACTTTGCTTAGCAACAGAAATCTTGGTCCCAATTGTGCTTGTAAGTTGAGAACGACCTGGGGAAGATTAGGAATTTTTGCATTCAATAGAAAAAGTCTGTGAACAGGGTTATGTTGAAATTCCACAGAAAGCAAAAATAAAAGAAATAATAATAACTAAGCTTAGCATATTCTTAAGTATTCAAGAACTTTTCTGCACTCAGTGAAAGTTTGCAGCCTATTTCCACATTTCATTTCACTTCATTTATTTAATTTCTATCGTCACCCATCAGATCATGAAGCTGAAGCTCAAATACTTTAGCCACCTACCATATTTTTCAGAGTATAAGACGCACCAAAATTTTGAAGAGGCAAATTTTTTAAAAAAGTTTTTACTCCGCAGACCTCCCAAAAACGGCCCATTTTTTGGTCAAAAAAAAAGGGGGGGCATACATAGCCTTTAGGAGGCTTATAGAGTACTCCTGAGGGCTGGAGGGGCAAAAACGAGAAAAAGCGGGCCATTTTCCACTCATTTTTGCCCTCCCCAGCCCCTAGCAGCACTCTGGAAGCCTCCTAAAGGCTAGGCATGGCCATTTTTGCAAAGGGGGCAGGGTTTTGGGCAGCCAAAAATGCTGTATTCAGTGTATAAGATGCACCCAAATCTTCACCCGGTAATAAGAACAGAGGTGGCAGAGTGGTTAGAATGCAGTACTGCAGGCTACTTCTGCTGATCATTGGCTGCCATCAGTTTGGCAGATCAAATCTCACCAGGATCCAGGTTGACTCAGCCTTCCATCCTTCTGAGGTGGGTAAAATGAGGACCCAGATTGTTGGGGGCAACAGGCTGATTCTGTAAATCACTTAGAGAGGGCTGTAAAGCAGTGTGAAGTGGTATATAAGTGTAAGTGCTATTGCTATTAGTTGGAAAAGACCCCTGATATTTGGAAAGATGGAAGGCAAAAGGAGAAGGGGATGGTCAGCAGAGGCGGAGAAGGTTAGATAGCATCATTGGCGCAATGAACATAAATTTGGGCATCTCTGGGAACCAGTGGAGGACAGGGGAGCCTGGAATGCTACGGTCCATGCTGTTGCAAATAGTCGGGCACAACTTAGCGACTAAACATCAACAACAGAAATAACCACCCATCTCAGTCAATGATTCTGGGCAGCCTGCAATTCAATTTTATGATTCCCCCCCCCCACTTTCGTTCCATTGTGATTCTTGGAGGCTGCCTGGACAAGTCCCTGCAATTTTCTTGGCAAGGTTTTCAAAAGTGGTTTGCCCTGGCCTCTTTTTCTAAATCTTAAATTCCTGTTTCATTTTGAAAATACATTGTTTCCTGTCTTGGCACTAGGAATTCTGGAAAATTCAAACAGCTGCACGTTATTTTATAATCCCTGAGCTGGCCTGATTAAGCTATTGTGCTCATATGAATTGGAGATGCATTCTATTTTGGTTATATATTTCCCAGCATCGTTGCTTTGACAGTACCTATGTGTATCAGACCCATTCAAAAAATGTTAATATTTCTTCATAGGTTTACTTGAGATTTCCACCAACAATCCTTCCATGAATACAAATGCAAAAGCAGACTGATCCAACATTCAAGGACATCTGCAGAGGTTAGTCAAAAAATTCAAGAAGTCAGTTGTGACTGCATATAAGCACCCTTACCCATAGATTTTGTTTTTACACTTTTGGCCAATATGTACTTCAAACAGAGGTTAAGAAAATAGTGATATTAATATATAGTATCAAATACTTTACAAAAGTTGTACGTGCACACCTGAAAATTCATAAAACAAGGTATACAAGCCATTTTGAAGCACTCATACCACAGAACTATTTTATGTTAAACTGTGTTTGTACAAGATGCTAAAGTTTTTTGTTAATCTCCTTTCACGTGAGAATTTAGAATAAAATAGAATGAATTAGAATAGAATGAATTAGAAATAGAAATAGAAATAGAAATAGAANCCCTGAGCCGGTGAGATTTGAACCGCTGACCTGCTGATCTAGCAGTAGCCTGCAGTGCTGCATTTAACCACTGCGCCACCTTGGCTCTTAACAAATGGCTAAATCAGCCATTCCAAGCTCCCACCAACACTTGTTCAGCTTCAAGAAATTAAGGGTTGATCTCCTACCAGCACATCATGCTCCATAAAAAGAGCCTCTAAGCCAAAGGAATCCACCAATTGCATTCTTTAATTGGTCTTATTTTAATAATTAAGGATAGCACTGTTTCTCCATCTTGTTATTCAGACAAATTAGATCTTAGCTGTCATCCTATCAAATTGTATGCAGGTATATTTTTCGGCTGATTCTTGTACATTGACATAACTGCAGAACACACCGAGATTACATGTTAATGTCCTGATCATCCATTTCTTATCCCCAGAAGTGCTCAGAAGCCACATTTCTCGCAACATCTCAGTAATAATTCCTTGACTTTTCAAGGGTTGGCTGGCTGATTGTGTTTAATCTGGTTAATCTGGGTTTTCTCCCAAATCCAAGGTAAGACCTGCCTTCTAAAAGTTTTGTTTTCTTTCTCTAACCATTTTAGCTATTTCTTCTCAATATTAGAGATATTCTCCCACCTGTTTTACTGTTCTTTGGCTTGCAGTTCATGTCATTAAGTAGGTCATCCAGAAATAAGATTCCCTGAGGACAGTTAACAAAGGGACCCACAATTGAAGGGATTATTACTGAGGTGTTGCTAGAACTGTGACTCCTGGGCTCTTTTGAGGATAAGAAATGGGTGGGCAGGACATTAATATGTAGCCTGGTCATGTTCTGAAGTTATTTCAGTGCATAAGAATGGTGGAATTAAATGAAGGGCAACACACTGTTAATGTTTAAACTTCAGTTGTGCAGCAATCTGCACATCCACAGACAATTAATGGTCTTAAACACATGCCTGTACTGAAACTAGCAATTGTTTCAGAGAAATGTCAAAAAATTCGTGATCATTCAAACACCTCCTACTTCTCCCACATTTAACAATGCCGTGTTTAGATGAATGCTTTGTGCACCACGAATGCCACATGGTATTCATTTGCCATTACATTTTGAAGAAATTCTGCATGATGTTGTGCGATATATCAATGAGATTATAGGATCATTTCTATCCTATGCACTGCCCTGAGATTATATTGATTATAGGGGAATTCTAACTACAGGTAGTCCTTAACATACCACCATTTGATTAGTGACCATTTGAAATTATAGTGGGACTGAAAGAAGTTTACTCATGACCGGTCTTCACGAATATGACTATCACAGCATCCCCACAATCATGTGATCAAAATTTGGGCACTTGGCAACAGGCAAGTATCTACAATGGTTGCGACATCCCAGGGTCATGTGACCCAGCCAGCTTCTGACAAGCAAAGTCAATGGAGGAAGCTGGGTTCGCTTAATATCCGCTTGATCCACTTAACAATTGCAGTGATTTGCCTAACTAACCATAGCAAGAAAGGCTCACTTAACAATTGCCTTAGCATTGGAAATTCTGGTCCCTGTTGTGGGTGTAAGTCAAGGACCTCTTGTATAAGAAACACATTGCATAATTAACAGAATAACGGAATAAGATAATTGGAAGGGACCTTGGAGGTCTTCTAGTCCAACCCCCTGCTCAAACAGAAAACTCTATACCATTTCAAAAAAAAAATGGTGGTCCAGTCTCCTCTTAAAAACCTCCAGAGTTGGAGCACCCACAACTTCTGGAGGCAAGTCATTCTGATGATTAATTGTTCTAACTATTAGGAAATTTCTCTTTAGTTCTAAGTTGGATCTCTCCTTAATTAGTTTCCATCCATTGCTTCTTGTTCTGCCTTCAGAGACTTTGTGGCAACCACTTAGTTATTGGATATTAAATATTTTATTGTTTGGACCAGTGGGACACTAGGAAGAAACTTTACTTGAAATCCCAGGTTTGTCTTATTTCCCCATAGAAAAAAGAGAGAGAAAAGGTGGGAACTCACCTTGTGGGCCATCAAACTTGGCTTTTTTGACTGGAAAAGTAAAGAGAAAAGAAAGCAGTTAGTGCTAGGTCCAAAATGAATAAAATCTGCACAGCCTGATTTGCATAACCTCTTAAACTGTTCCATGGCTAGGTCTAGGACATCATGCAGACCAGGCCATGAATTCCATTGTGGTTAAAAAGAATTGCATTAGCCATAGTTCCTAACCACAGCTTGTTGTTAGCTGTGTGTCATCTGAAACCAGACTAATGTCTACTTTAAACAGCCATTTAGAGACAGGAGGGAGAACTGTACCCATAGAGTGATGCTGGTCCTCCAACAGCAGCATTGTTGTTCCCCAAGAGGTTGTGTGTATGTGTGTTAAAATCTGCAAGATTTTGCAAGGCATTGAAATAGATGTTTCAATCATCACACCGTCCCTGCCATTTTTCAGATTTTGACACTCCCTCCCCCAGATGTACCTGCTGCTGCTCCTCTTCATTTCCCCACATGCTCCAGATATGAGGAGGGCTATTTTTGAAAACTACAGGAAGCATTATTGGATGGCGTTCAGGCTTTCTTCAACAGTTTTTAAATATGCAAATATATATTTAAAAAGTACAAGCAAACCCACTATGACAAGTATGGAACTTCCCTTAATATCACAAATCTCGAAGTTTTGCAGTATCACATCTCGAAAATTAAACTTTCACCTGGAGAGGAAACAGGCCATAGCTATTCCTAATAAATATAACAAGGACTCCAGTGTCAGGGTTCCGACAGATGCCCTAATTAACTCATGAGCCTCGAGCCAAGTTTCAAAAGAAATTCAGTTATTTATTCGGAGCAACATGTCAGCACATACCAGAGTGAAGTCAGCTCTGCCCCACATAAGGTACAGCTCAACTATGACCCTGTTTCCCACTCCTCCTCCCAGGGTGTGTCATAAATCACATTCTCCAACGAAAGCACTTTCGTGGGCTGTAGAAAACACGCCTCTCAGGCTGGCTCTGGTAACATGAGATCCAATCTTGAGAAAGATATGAGTGGAATGTGCTTCTGATTGCGGCTGCCTAGTTGCTCTGTCAGTTCACCCCCCCCCTCCTGCCTATGGCAAGTCGAGAGTAAGCCAGGAATGCTTTGTGAGTTGACATCTAGCGTAGAAGATATTTTTTCAACTTTTCCAGCTGTACTTGTGATTGTAAAGATAAAGATAAATGTTGCCTCTATCAAGTTGTGTGTCTGTCTCTAGGGGGTGGTATTCATTTGTTTCTTAGCCAAGGGCCAGTGTTATCCAAAGACATTTCCATGGTCGTGTGACCGGCATGACTATATGCCGAGGCGCACCCAACGCTGTTACCTTCCTACTGAAGTGGTACCTCTTTATCTACATGCATTTGCTTGTTTCAGACTGCTAAATGGGCAGGAGCTGGGGAAGGTAAGAGGAGCACACACCATTGCGTGTTGCTTGGGTCTTGAACCTGGGCGGTCAGCTTTCCAGCTGACAAGCTCAATGCCTTTAACCACTGAATCAACATGTCCCCTCCCTCCACGTGGACTATAGCTCCCACATCCCAAATAGTTATATCCATCAGGCTGGGCTGGCTGAACCTTGTATTCCCAGCACATCTAGGAAGCACCAGATGGGAGAAGTCTGGTTTTAGAAGAACTCCATCACTCTTCTTATTATTATTTGCAAATCATATTTCCGGTGTGGCCGGAAAATTGGACTAAATCCATTTTCCTCGCTCCTGGAACACCATTAACCTACTTCTGAGCCATGAATGACATTGTTTGCAGCATTGTGATGAAGCCTGAGGCAAATAATAAGGGGGGGGGGGAAGGCGTATAGTTCCTCACTTGCCCTCAATTGCTGAACTCCCACACTCTTGAATGACTCAGGATCAGTACAAACCATCATCTCTCTCTTATATAGTTTTGCATAGGCCATTTATAGGTTTCTCCAACAGTCTCTGCACTTTTTCTAGAGTCTTAGTTCTGGAGTTCATATGTTGGAAACCCTTCCCCTTTTATTATTTTTAATATTTTATATATGTTTTTGTCTGCCTGTAAGCCGCCCAGAGTCCCAAGGGAGTGGGCGGCATACAAATGTCAATAAATTCAAATTCAAAATTCCCCTATCACATGATTATATAAATGACCACATTTTGGGCACTTGGTACCCGGCTACCTTTTTACAACCAGTTGCAGCATTCTATGGTCACATGCTTATAATTTACTTTTTTTGCCAGTTTCTGGCCATCAAAAAACACCCGTAGGTATGAATTAACTCACTTTACAACTGCCATGTTCACTTTGCAATTACGGTGTTCCTTTAATAACCGCTGCAAAAAAATTGTGTTAGTCAGGTGCAGGGATGGGATTCAGTCAGTTCACACCTATTCAGGAGAACCGGTTGTTAACTTTCTAAGCAGTTTTAGAGAACCGGTTGTTGGAAGAAATCTCATTTTGTTTTTTCTCACATTACAGGACTAATCCTGTAAGGAAGGCAGGAAGGAAACATTCTGGTGTTGTTTCTAGCCTAATCTTTATTGCCCTGATTACAGAAACTGCCTCTCCGGTTAACCCTTATTACATTGTCACAGCTAAGGCAAAGCGCCCATCGATGTGAGTGATGTTAAGTTGGCCACATCCACGTGGTCACATGACCACTGAGCCACGCCTACCCAGGCAGAGAACCGGTTGTTAAATTATATGAATCCCACCACTGGTCAGGTGGCTACCTCGACTTACAATCATCAGGACTTCCAACAGAAATTCCAGGCTTACAGTGAAGGGCCACCTGTAATATAAATGCTGATATGCAACTCAGAGCCATTCCTCACTTGTGCCTAGCTGTGACTGAAACACATCTTGCCTCCCTTTTTATTGTTGTGCTGGGTCCTCATAAGATCATCTTCTTCCATTCTCAGCCCTAGAGAGCAAAAGTTATTCCTCTTTTATCCCAATACAGCATTTCCTATATCCCAAAAGCCATTAGATGGCCGGCACGGTCAGGTGACTCCTAGAGTAACCTCTATTGGTTGCTTTAGGCTGGGCTGGGCACGCTCCCTTCCCTTTATTTCCCCACATAGAGTGTGCTTGCTAACCATTTTGGCTTTGGCCATGTGGGGGATTTGTCTCTGTATTTGGCAGAGATTTGGATCAGCAGGTGAAAGGGGGGGGGACAGTGATGAAGTGATGAAGTGGGAGACAGCAAGTCAACAACTCTCTTTGACTGCTGTATTATCAGTGGTGAGATTCAATTTTTTTTACTACTGGTTCTGTGGGTGTTGTTTGTTGGGCATGGCCTGGTGGGCGTGGCAGGGGAAGGATACTGTAAAATCCCCATTCCCTCCCCCACCCCATTCATCTGCTTTCCAACTCCGTTTTCCTGTGCAGGGCAACAAAAGAAGACCCAGCCAATCAGCTGGGAGGCAGCAATAGATTGACCCTGTTAATCTATCTATTCCTGCCTGCTTGTGGGAAAGTGAGGAAAACAGAGTGAAGAGGTTGATAACGATTCTTAATGTAGCTTACAAATAAAGGCAGCAATATTTGTAAGATATCATGCCCTTGATAGGATGGCCTCAGCCCTTCAAGATTGGATAGGCGAAGAAGAGTCACAGGAAGGGCTCTAGGAGTGCTACTTATTACCGTATTTTTCAGAGTATAAGATGCACCGGAGTATAAGACGCACCAAGATTTTGAAGAGGCAAATTAAAAAAAAGGTTTTTGCACTCTGCAGACCTCCCCAAAATGGCCTGTTTTTTGTCAAAAAAAAAGGGCATGCATAGCCTTGTAGAGGCTTATAGAGTGCTTGTAGAGTTCTCTTGGGGGCTGGGGTGGGCAAAATCAAGCATAAAACTGCACATTTTTCATGAAAACGGGCCCATTTTTGTTAAAGAAGGGCATGTATTGCGTAGCCTTTAGGAGGCTTGTAGAGTGCTCTTGGGGGCTGGGGTGGGCAAAATCAAGCATAAAACTGCACATTTTTCATGAAAACGGGCCCATTTTTGTTAAAGAAGGGCATGTATTGCGTAGCCTTTAGGAGGCTTGTAGAGTGCTCTTGGGGGCTGGGGTGGGCAAAATCAAGCATAAAACTGCACATTTTTCATGAAAACGGGCCCATTTTTGTTAAAGAAGGGCATGTATTGCGTAGCCTTTAGGAGGCTTCCAGAGTGCTCCTGGGAGCTGTGGGGGGCAAGAAAGAGCAAAATATGGCCCATTTTCTACTCATTTGTGCCCTCCCCAGCCCCCAGGAGCACTCTGGAAGCCTCC